CTAGGCTCAGTATGATTTAAAAAAAAAAGAGGAAAACTTCTGTTTGTATTCTTTAATCCTTTCGCTGTCAGAGCATTTTTTTTGCACACATGTTATAATAACCTAACCGTTCCCTTCGCTCCTCCCAAGACCTCCTGCTTTCCAGCTCCCATGTCAACCCCTCCCATACTCGCCTCCAGGACTTCTCTAGAGTCTCTCCCATCCCCTGGGACTCTTTACCCCAACACGTCTATCAATCTCCTACCTTGACTGCCTTTAGGCATTCCCTAAAGACTCATCTCTGCAGGGAAGCCTATCCCACCTCAACCTAACCACTGAACTATCACTTTCTCAAACAATTCATCCCCTCACAGACACCTCCTCATGTATTCCTTGCTCCTCCCTTTTAGATTGTAAGCCCTCACAGGCAGGACCCTCCTTACCATCTTGTCTTGAATTGTATTGTGATTGTAATGTCTTCCTTATATTGTAAAGCGCTGCACAAACTGTTGGTGCTATATAAATCCTGCATAACAATAATAATAATCCCTATTTTAGACCTAAAAATTACTTTAAATACCCCTCAGAATTATATATCTACAGACCCTGTAGAATAAAATGGCAGCAGTTGCAAATGTTTGCCTCACACAATATAAGTGCAGCTTTCTCAAACCAAATATTTCAATACAATTTACAGTTAAATTGGTTTTAATGCTCAAAACATAATATAATACCCACTTTTTTGGAAAATATAAAAGATGAGGTTGTGCCGAGTAAAGAGATACCCAACATACCAAGCTTAAAGATTGTGTATGCCCGTGAAATGACGACAAAATACGGTACCCCGAATTGTCCATAGGCGAAGCATTAAAAGCATGTACAGGTCATCTTTTAGAGTTAGCCATGAATATTGGCCCTAGAATTATTGCTTCCACTCTGGCACATTCAGTGATACCCAACATGTGCTATGTACATGTTTCTGTATGCAGGAGCACCTGACGCGTGTTTATGTTGGTATGCATGCATTCGCAGGGGCGGGGTGTACTTTAACGTTTTTGTATTTTTAAATTTATTTTATTTAACTTTAGTATTTTAATATGTGATAGCATAATACTGGTGACAGGTTCTCTTTAAGTTCTAAAGAGGTTTCCACCGCACTCCTTACTGGTATGTCCCTTTTTAAAGTGGGTGCTGCAGTGATAGCGGATGGCGCCACTTCAAATCCAATTAGTAGAGTATATCACCAGCACACCAAAGTCATGCCTGATGAAGGGACCCTGAGTGGCCCCGAAACATTGCTCTATGACGAGATGTGTGTGTGTGTGTATAAATAAAATCGCCACTCGATGAAGATTTTATTTTGGTGTGCTGGTGATATAAGTTACTATTTAGGATCTCTTTAACCACTTCAAGACCAGGTGTTTAGACCCCCTTCCTGGCCAGGCCATTTTTCAGTATTCAGCGCTGCGATACTTTTAATGACATTTATTCCCTCATGCAACGCTCCACTGAAATGAATTTTATACCATTTTTTGGGGACAGATAGAGCTTTCTTTGGTGGTATTTAATCACCACTGGGGGGTTTATTTTTTACTATATTCAGAAAAAATTATGGAAAATTTTGGAAAAAAAAAGTAATTTTTTCATTATATTAGGAAACAATTCTTATTACACATATTTTTGGTAAAATATAAAAGATGGGGTCACGTTGGGTAAATAGACACTAAACATGTCAAGCTTTAAAATTGTGCGCACCAGCGAAATCGCAGAAAAACTACCATACCCAAAACTGTCCATAGGCGACGCTTTAAAAGCTTTTACCACTCATCAGTTTAGTGTTATCAGTGATTAATAGCCCGAGAATTATTGCTCTCATTCCGACATTCGCAACGATATGTAACATGTGCGGCGTAATGGGACACAACGCCTGTATGGGTGGACTTTAAAAAGAAAAATTTTAATTCTTTTTTATGTGTAACTTTACATATTTGGGGGGGAAACTTTAATTTTTTTTTTCAATTTTTTTTTCCACTTAACTTTATTGCTATCCCATAGGGGGCTAAGAAACCCCCTTTTTTAATAGCAAAAGAAGTGACAGGTCCTCTTTATGGAGACATCAGGGGTCTCCAAGACCCCTAATGTCACCTAGGACCCCCCTGAAGAAGCTGATGAAGCAGAGATCTGCTTCATCAGCTTCTCTCCAGCATCTGAAGCTTGAGAGGGACACAAGCATGCGGAAGTGATGTAATATACATCAGTTCCGCATTCTGACAGCGGAGAGGGGACCGGAGGGAGTTCGTTTACCGATCTCCGGCCGGGAAGTGTGACATTAGGGGTCTATTAGAGCCCCAGTGTCAACTTTTCACTTCAAAGTGGGCTTGAATATTTTCTTCCCCAGTTTCTCTAGCAAGGGAATGACAGCAGAGGAGCTGGAAGTGATGCAATCAGCGTCACTCCCAGCTCTATTCAGCAGGGGGAGGAGACCAGCGAATGGATAATTGCTGGCCACTCTCCCTGCTTCTCGCAAACACTCATGATGCCGGTCCTGGGCCCGCAGGAGGGGCAGCGGAGCTCGGGAAATAAGACAGGGGTGTCAGGTAGGGACCTTGTTCACCGACCCGGGCCTGTACAAGTGATCTGGCGGCAGTTCAGCCACCATAATCACTTCCAGTGTAAAGCTGACAGTCGGCTTTACACAGGTAAACAGTCCCAGAGGCTAAGGGGTATGGCGCTGGCAGGGAAAGGGTTAAGCAAACATATATGGCACATGGTTGATAGATAAAGCTAAACTCTGGGAAAACTGTTTTTATTCATACTGTACTAACAAATTAAGTTATCACTAATATGCTGTATGCTATGTGTGGAGGGCTGCTACATAGAAATCTTACCCAGATATTTGATATTTTGTATAGTTGCGCAATGACTTACTACTGACAATTGCTTTGGTTGTCTATTTTATTGTTTCTCGTTGAAAAAACTAAATAACAAAATATGTTTAAAAAAAATCTTATCTTGCAACCTGCCGACTCTAACACATAGCGCTGGGCTTCCGGGTGCCACAGGGGATGCGACTAGAATAGTGAAAGGCTCACATTACCTACCCCTCCTGCTCCATTCACAAAAGCCTCTCACAGAATACAAGGCTTCTGTGATTGGAAGACGAGAGCAGATAGCGAGCATGCTGCCTCTAAGGCTGGGCACACACCTTACAACCATCGCAAGACTTCTGTCTTGCGATGGTTGTAAGGTACTTAAAAAAACGTACGATCTGCCTATGTTGCATAGGCAGATCGTACTTGCGATGATCACAAGCTACGCCCCCTGAGGGGCGGGCTTCCGATGACCGCAATGCCGAACGGGCAGTGTGCGCTTGCGCACACCGGCCCGTACGGCTGTTATCGTACGGACATGCCACAAACCCGCCGAACATCGTACGATGCTCGGCGGGTTTTCGAACATGTCCGTAAGTTTAAAGTCGTGCGACCTTACAATAGTAGAGGTCGCACGGCTTCCACACACCTTACGATCATCGTACGATCGCGGGATTTCCCGTGATTATCGTACGATAATCGTAAGGTGTGTGGGGACCCTAACACATACGGAGGAGAGTTGTGCTGCTAGAGCAGTGAAAGGCTCAAGTTACAGCATGTTACATCAAGTTACATCACCGTCCCCTCCTATCTCATCCTCCATTCACAAAAAGCTTCTCATGGAATCCAAGTCTTCTGTGATTGGAAGGTGGGGGGGGTGCCAGCTCTGACACATAGCGCTGGACTTCCAGATGCTACGAGGAGATAGATGCAGCTAGAGCAGTGAAAGGCTCAAGTTGCATCCCCGCCCCTCCTCTCTCATTCTCCATTCAGAAAAAGCCTCTCATAGAATCCAAGCCTTATGTGATTGGAGCAAGAGATGGAGGGGGGTAGGGATGCTGCCTCTGACTAAAAGCACTAGATTTGCAGTTGCTACAAAGAAAGGGATGAGGGTAGAATAGTGAAGGGGTCAGGTCACATTCCCACCCCTCCTCTTATCCTCTATTCACAGAAGCCTCTGTGAGAAAAATACAAGGTTTTTGTGAATGGAGGAGGTGTGAGGAGGGGGAGGTAATAAGGCTTGACCCCATTCACTACTCTAGCCGCATCTCTCTCCCCTGTAGCACCCAGAAGCCTAGAGCTTTGTATAGAAGCTTGCATCCCCAACCCTATCTTCTCGTCCTCCAATCACATAACCCTTTTATTCTGTGACACAAATACCAGACTTTTTTTGTGAATGGCGAAGGAGTGAGGAGGTGGCGGGGATGCACATGAAGCTTTATACTACTCTCCCCTGTAGCACCCAGAAGCCAAGTGCTATGTCTCAGAGCAAGCATGCTGCAAGGTTCATACTATGCAACAGCCCTCCACACATAACATACAGCTTATTAGTGATTACTAATTAGTATGTAAAAAAAAAAGTGCTTTCCTGGAGTTCAGCTTTAACCCCTTCATGATCGAGGCCTTTTTTCCATTTTTTGCACCCATGTCATAATCCACAAAATTACTTCAAACTCCCAAACATTATATATTTTCTTAAAGCCGAGACCCCGTAGAATAAAATGTCAGCAGTTGCAAATTTTTATGTTGGACGATATTAGCACAACTTATTATCAAATCCCCAAAATCTTTGAAAAATGCAGTTAAATGCCCCAAAGCAAAAGCAAATACCAATTTTTAAAATACAATATGAAAGATGAGGTTACAATGAGTAAATAGATACCCAACATGCCCAGGTTAACAAGTGTGTGCGTCAGTGAAACTGCAACAAAATTCTGTACCCCAAAAAGTCCATAGACAACGTTTTAAAAATCTCAACAGGTCATCGGTTTAGAGATACACGTAAATATTGGCCCTAGAATTATTACTCTCACTCTGGCATGTGCGACAATGCACAACATGTGTAGCGCGATCATCGTTTTCATATGTAGGCGCATGTAAAGATGGCAGGGACTTTAAAAAATGTTTTAAATTATTTTTACATTTATTTATTTTAAGATTATTTTTAAAAACTGTTATTTTACATGTTTTTTCTACTTTTTAGTTCAGTAGTAAATCTGGCCATACACCTATAGATTATCTGCAGATTTTCTATGGTCAGATGGAAAAGTGCAACAGATTCCTCCATCTACGCTGAGCAGTGTGGCTGGAGGAATCTCCCACTGGGCCAAGCTTCAGTATCTTGCTAGTCGGCGCCCGCTGGCTCTCAAAATACCTGAACAATCTGATTGGATGCAGGGAATGTTCAGGTATTTTGACAGCCAGCCCTATGGCCGACTAGCAAGATACTGAAGCTTGGCCCAGTGGGAGATTCCTCCAGCCACACTGCTCAGCGTAGATGGAGGAATCTGTTGCACTTTTCCATCTGACCATAGAAAATCTGCAGATAATCTATAGGTGTATGGCCAGGTTTAGATAAATAATATACATAGAGGGGGGAGGGGGGGCAGATTTTGCCACTGAACACTGAACTGCATAAGCAATGTATTTCTGCCACTGAACAGCAAAGGAAATGTATTATCGGTCTGATCGCCAATGCAAATGTATTCGTGCCACTGAATTATTATGGACTATCTGTGCAGCGCAGTGTCATCGCACACATTTCACATAAAAAATGTTAATTTTAATATTCATACTTTTATTTTTTATTACATCTGAAACCCGCTGATTGCGCTGACGCACCGCAAACTGCAGATCTGAAAATCATTTTAGGTGTTCCTCCAGAGTCATAACGTTTAAAAAGCTCGCTCTAAACCGCGAACCTGCAACACCCAGACCCAATAAAGTTTTATCTCTGCGTTCTAAGCGATGCTTTCTGAATCTGCACATGGCTAAAAATAACGAAAATGCAGACGAAAACGCAGACTGTTTTGTACAATGTTTGATATGAAAGTCAAAAGTAATATTAAACTTTCAAAATGTTTTTAATCAGATCAAACAAATGTACATCGCCCAGCAAAGTATTTATTTAAATTTTTGCCCAAGCACTTGCAGTCATCATGTTTCTGAACAGCTCCAACTCTCTCAGTTCAGCTTCCGTTGACTTCCTGTCCAGTCTAGGATTACAAAGAACAGAGCAGTCTTCAGCAGCCATCCATCTACTAGCTTGGAGAGGGGAGCAGAGGAGTGTCTTGCCTTGCTGTGTCTGTGTGTTTGTGGGGAAACACAGATTACTAGCACACACAAGGGTGGCTCCATAGGACCCTGCAAGGAAAAGAAGCCACCCTAAAATAGGATATCAGGACCAGTGTTCAGGGGACCAGCTGATTCTATAGGAAACTAAAAGGAGGGAGCACAGAGAAGAGAACAGTGGATAAGTTCCCCTTGCTGTGTCTATGTGTTTGTGGAGATGCACGCCGCTTACTAGCACACACAAGGGTGGCTCCATAGGACCCTGCAATGGAAAGGAGCAGCCCCTAGGACCTGGTCACACCCTCTCCAGACCAGAATATTTTTTTATCTGCACCAAAAATGCACACAGTAATTCCAGTGGGTCACATGAGGCTAGTTCACACCATTGTGTTCAGTTCCAGAGCTTTTAGTAAAAGTACAGCATGCTGCACTGGAACACACAAAAACACATGTTAACACACCAGAACACACTGGGACACGCTTAAAACCCACCAAGCAAAACTATATTTAAAAAAAAACCTAACCGGGAAGCATAAAAAATGCGTTAAAAGCACATACATGCGTTTATAGAAACGCATCCAGATCTGATTTGGAGATGGTGTGAACAAGCCCTGAAACAGGATATGAGGACCATGGAGCAGCTGATTCTTCAGGAAACTAAAACTTTTAAACATCAAGGACCATCCATTGTAAGTGATTCCATCAGCATTAGAAAAACATTTTGACTTTAATATCACTAAATAATTCCAAATGCTGATGAAATCACCTACAATGGACGCTGCTCCTTGATGTTTAAAAGTTTTAGTTTCCTGCAGAATCAGCTCATCCCCTGAGCAGTGGTCCTGATATCCTGTTTTAGGGTGGCCCCTTTCCCTTGCAGGGTCCTATGGAGCCACGCTTGTGTGTGCTAGTGAGGCTAGGTTCACACCTATGCGATTTATCGTATGGATTGAGTCCCCCGATATTGTGCAAAACACAGATTTGCATTGAAGTCAATGGAGGCTGTTCACACCCACTGGTGTATTTTGGTTTGGGGCTGCCCCACCCCTTACTGTTTAAGACTTTTTGTGTAACCTGTCAGTCGCTGGATACAGCACACACGCTGTATCCAGCTTTAGACATATTCCGCTATTAGCTTAGCAGGAAAGCTGGGGTCTCAGGTGGGCTTTGCAAGATTTGTGGTGGGCTCTTCGGGGTCTTTTGTGCGCAGTGCAATGTCTTAGGCTGCAGAGCCCACCATAGACCCCGCAGAGCCCACCATATACTCCACCAGTGCTTGACCTTATGGGTGGTCACACATTCCACCGCCAAAAAACTGGGCGAGATTACGTTAAAATGTGTGACCACGTGACAGGTCACACATTCTAAGGTAGTCACAAACTTTGATAGAACAGGGACTTCTCTGCTGCCCGACCAGCACTTAGGGGACCCGTCTTCCTCTGCCCCCCATCCCTCTTTCTCCTAAGCTGCTCAACCAAAGCTGCAGAGACTCGGACCCACCTCCTCCTCTTCCTCGCCTCCTTCACTCCCATGCTGCACAGCCACACATCCCCCAACAGCCACACATCCCCCACCCTATCCTGCATCAACAGATCGGCCCCACATTACAGGTTCCCCCTCCCTCACTCACTTCCTTTCTTCGCGGTCCCGACAGGCGATTAACCAACTTCCTCCGCCCCCTTCTTGCCGCCTCCTCCTCCCACGTAGCCCGATCAAAGCTGCGGGGACCGTCCCGGACCCGCCTCCTCCTCACCGCCCCGGACCCGTCCCCTTCTACTGACGTCCCTTGCTGCGGCTGCCTCCTGCTTACCGTCCCCCGCTGCCTCCGGCTCACCATCCGCTCGCTGCATCCTCCTGGCCGACTCCTCCTGGTCTCCAATTCCCCTGTTACTTCATGAGGCTGCCGGGCTGCGGCATTTTCGCCGCCCCCCTGGGGAGTGCCGCCCAAGGCAAACCGCCTCGTGGCAAATACGCCCCTGTTCACACGTTTTCGGTTTGTCGCTCGGACGAAATTGGCTGTCGCGCAAAAAGGTGCAGGAGCTATTTTCGGACGGTTGTTGTCCGGTTTGGATCCCAAAGACATCTCTATGCATTGAAAACCGTGCGACAACAGTGCGGTTTTCAAAGCACACTTTCTGCCTGATGAAGGGGATCCTTTGCGACCCTGAAACATTGCACTAAGTGTATTTGCTATGCAGCACGTACATTATTAAACAGACGTACTTAATCAGCTATTGGAGTGCCGGTGTCCATGCTCTTTTTTCAAAGCACAATCGTGCAAACGAAAACGTAGGACAACCGCGCAAAAACAGCTTGCCAACTCAATCCCCTAGGTGTGAGCCTAGCCTAAGCTGCATGTGTCCCCTGAAACACACAGGCACAGCAGGGCAGGTCATTCCTCTGCTCCCCTCTCCTCCTTCCTCCCTTCTCCAAGCTAGTAGATGGACAGCCGCTGGAGACTGCTCTGCCCCTTGTGATCTTGGACAGGACGTTTAGGGAAGCTGAGCTGGGAGAGTTGGAGCTGTTTAGGAACATGATGACTGTAAGTGCTTGGGTACATATGTAAAGAAATACTTTGCTGGGCAATGTATATTTGTTGGATCTGGATTCATTATTCGTTATTGAAAATAAAAAAAGATTGAGAGTTTTGTACTACTTTAAACTTTCAGGCTAGCACACTGAGGGGGGAATTTATCAAAGCAATTGTGAGTGTTTGAACTTGCACAGAATATATTTGCACCAGATTTATGATGATAGTGTAATGTTGTTGATAAATGAGGTTAAATAGACTCTAGGAAAGAAGACTTGTAACTCCAGGCAAAAGGCTTAACTATCGCTTCTTGAAGTGCTCACGGGGACTTCTTAAGTTCTGATTGTTTTGTTAGGTGATGCTCCAGCTCAGGGCTGTAGCTACCATGGGGCAAATGAGGCAGTCGCCTCAGGCGCAGCTGAGAGGGGACGCGGCTAGGGACGGCCAGGCTGCGCCCCTCGCCTCTGTTGCCATGGCAAGCATAGGGCGCTATGGCAACTGGGGCGGCAGGCGGCCAACACAGCTGCAGCTCGGCAGGGAAAAGAGGGCTCCAGCTTCTCCTCGGATCCCTGCTGCTCACCCCCACCAGCACTCCCACCTCGGCCACCCTGCTGGTTTCAACGCTCAAGATGGCAGAGCGGAGGATCAGTCAATATCTGTGATATTTACCGATGCTCTTTGTGCAGAGCAAACACTACTGCTGATCACTGCAGTGTTTGTAAACAACTGGGGACACATACTACTATGTGTCCCCTGTTATGAATGAACAGGAAGTGCTTTACATGAATTCCTGTTCAATCATGAGTTTCTCAATGGGTGAAATCACTCATTAAAGAGGCTTCTACCCATTGATAACCGGATAGTAAATATTTTACTTTCACCAGTTTCTGAATAAATAAGAAGCCTCTGTACTGAGCGCTTTCCATTCATTTAAAACAGAGTCTGCAGAAAAAGAGATTGAGGACTCTGTTACTATTTGAAAAGGTGACGTGTCAAGGGTCTTGTTAGACCCCCTGATGTTTCTCTGAAGCCGCCCCAACAGTAAAAACAAAAAATAAACACACACATGAGCAAAGACCGAAAATTGGTTTCAGACAAAATGAACGGAAACTAAAAATGTTTTCATTCGTTTCAGCAAACAAAACAAATTTTTATGCTGTTTTGTATTTGGCAACCAGTGCATTCTGGAGGCGGGGCTCATGACGTCACATGACGCCGTGCATGCACAGCAGCGGGTGACATGACATGTCTGTTGGGGGGCACAATTTTCTGTTCTTGCCTCAGGCACAAAAGGAGCTAGCTACGGCTCTGCTCCAGCTTCAGACAGCTGCAGAACAAGTGCAGATGAAACAGGTGCCAAAAAGGTGCAAAACACTGTGCAATTGGAAAAGTAGTGCAAGCTCTGGTCAAACAGGGGCACTTCCTCAAAATCATTAGGCAAAGTAACTGAAAAAGATAAAACACTGATAATCTTTCCGCTGTAATAAAAACATATTCTGCCTCCATGCCTTGTATCCTTATCACATCAATCGTAAGACTTGTATCCTGCTTATATCAGTCATTTCACATTGCAACCGATTCTTAGCAACCATCAGTAATGGAAAAAAAAAACAAAACCTTTTTTGTCAGTCGCACTCGAGTGAGACAACAAAAAGAAAAAAGTTAACCATCTAGACCACTCAATGTCACATTAACCCCCTAAGTGCCGCCTTAGCCTTCGGGACCACGGCCGGGCTGCAATGCATTCAAAGGCAATGAGTATCGGAATTGCCTAATCACGCCGGGGTAAGTGAATAAAAGTGGAATAAAGTGCGTGTAAGCCAGCAGGTGGAGAAACATGTTACTAAATGACGGCGAGCAGCAGCCGAGTGAGAGAAAGAGGCTGAGCTGTATTAGGAGGGAGGGGAGAGAGCAGAAGCAGTGGGGAACTCTCTGGATGTGATAACGTTGTAGAGTCCCTGCTGCTGATACTGCTGCCGGCTGCTGCTCCATACACATACACGCTCAGTCTCTCTCCTGTCCTGTGATGGATTAGTTAGCTTCAGAAAAGAAAAAAAAAGGAAAACAAAAAAAATGAAAAAGGTGCTTCTATTTTGATAAGTTGCTTACTCTTCCTGCTACTCTGCTGCCTCACAGCGCTTGGCATTCGGAATAAATGACTGATACAAGATCCCGTCGTACAGGAATCCAACTGCATGGGAGATGAATGCTGCAGGGAAGCAGCTGCCAACCCAACTAGATCGCCCGGTCAGCTTGTTTGTACCAACTTGGGCAAGTACTCTCTCGCTTTATTCATTACCTGCCGCTGTCCTATGTCCTGACGATCCCTGTGAGCACTTTAAATATATCAGCAGTCACCTACCGTGTAATGTGCTTAGCCTTGTTATGAATATGTGTGTTTCATCGTCAGAAATTGTGCGATGGGCTTCTACTGGGATCAAAGTGGTCCACCTGTGCTGTAAAGCACATGGTGGGCTCAAAGATTTAACTGCGTATGTACTTTCTGGAGATAAGTAGCTGCTGAGTGACTTGGACTTCAAAGATTAAATAGTCTTGCGAGTTGTCTTTGCAGCCAGCAGAATAATTGCTGTATTTCATTAAATCCCTTTAAAGTGACACTAAACTCAGGAAAATGCATTCAAGTACCTTAACCATTAACAGAATGTATCTTATTTGTGTATCACTCGGCTGTAGATCATCAAACTATCTCTGGATTTGTGCTCACACTGTCATTCCTTCTGGAGGGGGGCTACTTTTGTTCCCCATGGTCCCTGTGCGTGTTGTAAAGTAGCCACCGCTCCAAGCTCATATCAAACTATCTCTGAATTGGTGCTGACACTGTCCTTCCTCCTGGAGGGGGGCTACTTTTGTTCCCCATGGTCCATGTGTGTGTTGTAAAGTAGCCACCGCTCCAAGGTCACTCCCGTGATGGACTAAAATCTCACACTTAGTTTTCTAATTGGTATTGAGATTGTAGTCCATCCCGGCAGTGAGCTTGGGGCGGTGACTACTTTACAACACACACATGGACAATGGGGAACAAAAGTAGCCACCCTCCAGAAGGAAGAACAGTGTCAGCACCAATTCAGAGATGGTTTGAGGATCTACGGCTGAGTGATACACAAATAAGATACATTTTTGTTAATAGTTAAGGTACCTGAATGTATTGTTAAGATTTAATTCCTGAGTTTAGTGTCACTTTAAGATTCTTCTGTTTAAAACGGTGGTGGGTGAATTATTAAGGATTTCTGGAACAAGCCTGGCCAATCCAGTAGCCAGCAGGATTTTTTAGCAGTGAGCGCCATTGACAACCAGAGAAAACCTCAAAAGTTAGGCACCAGCTCCATAAAAAAATTTTAAGGAATATTGTCTACCTGGGATTCAAGAAGGTTAGAAGTCTCTCTCTCTACATCGGTGTCAAGTCACTCACAGGCTTGTGTCTTATTATAATGATATGGCTGATAAGAACATTTTGGTAAACTAATAATATAAAATGTTTCCTTTGAACTCTTATGGGAGTACTAAAATTTGAACAGCATAGTGAAAGTGAAGATTTAAAGGTTTGATACATTCAAAATAGATGTCATGAGGATAGATACTTGAGAGTTAAACCAATTATATCGCTTGGGGATTCCTTTGGTGAGATGCTTGCGCTTTAGTTACTGAGCCAGCACACCTGCCACAGCCATTACCAGGAGCTCCCCAACTTGCTCTCTCACTGCATTTCTAATTTAATTTATATTGTTGGGCAAGTAACTGGAGAAGGTAGGGACACTCAAAGATAGATGTGGACACCCAAAACTCCAAGGTGGATGCAAAAAGTTCAAAGAACAGCGATCTTACCACTAGAGTCCAAAATGATATGGGAACCTAGAACGCACTCTCAGCCCAGATGATTAAAAATACATGTTATACCTTAAAGGGGAACATTATTCTTTTTTACGTTTTTGTAGATATTAGTGTGAAAGAAATTAGATGATTACATATAATCTTGTCCATATGCAATAATGTTATACAAAAATCCTATTCCTGTGTTTCGGAAGTACTTATAAATACAAATGGGAGCAGCCATATTTTACTCATAACATATCAAGGATTTGCTTCTTGCCTTGTAGACCATTGTGTCTTGGTAATTGACAGCAGTAGCCATGAGCGTCCCTAGACTTTTTATCGTCTGAGGCCGAGGGAGGTTGGGATGTGGTGGATGGCATTTCAGGTGGTGCATGTTATTAGTGCTGGGGCGCTTCTTCCAGGGGGTAGGCAGGGGTTACCTCTTCCGTTATGTCTAGCTTTTTTACTTCACTAGTTGCCAGGAGCTTGGCAGGACAATGGCCAGAGTGTCACAAGTTGCAAAGAGAAATATGGGGTAACCTTTTTTATACCATAGTTCTCTTCAGGGTCACGGAAAGACATATACTAACATCCTCCCGTGACCCAAAGCTCAGTATATTGCGGGCCATTGCCACTATATACTGAGAGCATCGCATCAGGGACGGATCCCGACAATACTATTGAGACCCACCCAGCTGGCTGATTGACAGTCAGCGCTGGAGGATCGGAGAGGGGAGGGAATCCTTGTGGGAGCGGTGTCTTACAGTCACCGCTCACTGCAGGGAGATGATTGGGAAGTGAGTGAGCGAAGGTATGTTTTTGCTTCCTTCCCGATCAATAGAGCCGACGTGTGACCGTTTTATTGTCGCATGTTGGCTCTAACCATGAGGATGAGTGTAAATCCCTCACCTCATAGTTCTCCTTTAACAACCTGGGATGCTCTGGCTGGAAAGGGTGCGGCCACGTGCCCCTAAGAGATGCCACCCTCAGACTGCCTCATTATAGGGATGGCCCTGGCAGTAGCCATTCTTCAGAATCTAATGATACACTGCTCCTGGTAGCCAGAAAATAGATGATGAGCCTGGGCTTAGTGTGAACCCAGTTCACCTAAGCCCATTCAAACTGTGACTGACCCCCCTCCTCCCAACCCAACCAGTTATGGAGACGTGCATTCCCTACCATGTAGCTATATGTTACAAAAGGACAGGAAACACCTTCTCTGCAACTGCCACCACTGATTGGGTCAGGAGGCAGGGGAAATAGCTGTCACAATTTTGAGAGGGCTTGACAAACTCAAGCGAACTGGGATCACACCAAACCCAGGCTCATATCTACCAGAGATTATAAAATCATTGCTTGGGTGTAAATGGAAGCTCCAGGAAATATAACTAGAAAGGAATGAGGGTTGGTGAAAAGTGTTAATTACACTCTACTCCATGTTGTACTTTCTTAGTCATGAAAACTGTGCAGGGAGTGCAGTGGTTAGCTCAATGCTCCCATTCTGCACTCTCTCTACTTCCGGTCTCTGCTATTTGACAAATGCAGTCAGTCGCTGCAAGGGCCGTTTACAGGGCTGCCAATTACAGCAACTAACTATATGCATAAAGTATTGCCAACTAGGTACTGCATGGACTGGAACCACTGAGCTAACAGTACTGCTGCATTCCCTACAGTTTCTAAAGAGCCGTAAATTGGAGAGGACAGGGTGGAGGTCATTAACTCTTTACCTGTTGATTTCAGCAAAATGTAAATTTTAACGATAGGCATCTTTTAACTGAAATAACTGAAATAATGCTTTTGAATGGACTAACGTTTTAAATAATGTAGAACAATACTGGAATATAATGAATATTGTAAAATGCACTATCCCATAGCATCCAATAAGAAAACATGATCTAATTGATTTGATTTGCTTTTGATGCGTTACGGCACTTTGCTTTTTCCGCTGCCTTAGCGAAAAATCCCACACATATTATATAATGATACATCCAAAGATTTGTTTTGAACACAAGCAATAGCAGTTATTTAAAAAATGCGGGAATTTATCAAAACTGGAGCAGACAGAATCTGGAAAATTCTCTCCTCAGTTTGTTCAGTTAAGGTTTGAAAATGAAAGAGAGAAGCTGATTGATTGCCCTGGGCAGCTGCTACAGATTTTGTCTGCTACAGTTTTTATAAAATCCCTGGCTGGATTCTCCCACGATAAGTGAGCAACATTTAAACAGTCTCCTACAATATTGGAGCCCACCTACAGGTCTTTTAACATTAGAAAGAGCTTAGAGAGCAGTCCCCTTCCAAAACATGGCTGCCTGATTCCTGACTTATTCAACACCACCAGTATGTAGAAAGGAGATGGTGGTGGTTGCTGGGGGGGTTGACTGCCCTATTCACTATGCAGAAGAACAAGTAGGCTGGTATCTGCATGGCAGGGGGTTAGGCAGTGGCTGCTTAACTTGCCATGGGGGTACCAGCCCAGATACCTAGTGTTCCAGGTTGGCAGCTCATCTTTGTAAAACATATACAATAAAGAAAACTAAAATTAGCCATAGACAAGATAAATATGTAGTTTTACACAGAATCGTCAGTATGAACCACACATACTCAACATAAGTTTTCACTTTTTCCACTCGTAGAACATTTTTGCAAAGTCAGGTGAAAATACAGGACCTGTTTAGAAGCATTTAGCTTTAGCAGTGTTCTTGTTTAAAGTAAACCTGTCACAAAACTGGTCACTTAGCTAAAACAGATTTGCTGAAAAAAATAAAAAGCAGCAGCAAAAGCCGACCTTCAGTGAAGACTAACTTGTCAAAATGAAAGTCAACTGATATTATATTCAAATGTCAACTTTCTCTGTAAAATCAAAGACTTCCTCATAGCTCTTCGTTGTGATCAATTTCATCTACAGGAAGCAGTAGGGATAGAGTCAGGATTGACTTTTATATGAAAAGTTAAAAATTGCATAAAACGTCAGCTGCTGATATCTCTGGATCTACTGATTGTTTTGACAGGGGGTCTTCATTGGCAATAGGTTCTGCGTGTCCAATTTTCCTCATATACTAGCTTTGAAATGCTCAAGCCTGTGATAGGTTTACTTCAAAGTGGATCTAATCTCAGAGAATAACCTGTAGCTATGTTAACACTGGAATTGGATGACGGGTGATAGAATGCTTTTTCATGAGAAATAGCATTTGCTTTAGTAGCAGATTAATGCTCAAGCTGGCTCCTTCCCTTTTGCAAAGGCCTATGTTAAACCTCGGCATTTTATGGCCCATGGGCCATATCTTGACATTTGATTGCCTCTGTCTAGCCTGTGGTCAGATCGTTTGCTGACCTGCGCTCATTTATGGCTGGCTGACAGTGGGGGTGTCAGCCTCCAAGGCTGGTGCATCCACTGCAAGCCATACCCCAGTGCAGGTTGGTGATTGGTCCATGTGCGGAAT